TTGGACTTTGTACTGTATAATATATTGAGGCCAATGATGCATATGAAATACATAACGACTAACTGAAAATTGAAAAAATTGCTAGATAAACTAAGGAGCATACAAATATAAAGAAACTCACAGAAGTTTGGTATATCATTGCATGCTGTTGTATCAATTTTGTGTTGTATCAATCAGTTTGCTGTTGTATCAATCAGTTTGGTGCAGTTGTATCAATTTTGTGCCCGTCTTCTGTTAATATTTGAATGGGCTGAGGTATTATGAGTTTCTATTTAAATCACACTGTGATGTTAATCATCATTTCTGAAATGTTTTGCTCCACAAGTGAGCAAGTAGTTAAGACTACTGGATAATGGTATTTCTACCTGCTTTGGTTTCGAGTCTAGTCAAAGGAGCTGACTGCATGGCTGGTTTTCATGGCTTTCTCTGAAAAGGAGATGTAAAAGATAAATTGTACTGGAATGAATTATTGTGTGAAGTTTATACTCGCATTATTGCTTTCTTGTTTTTCTGGATGGACCAGGCTGATCATCCTGAGAGATGGTATAACATCTTTTATGTTACTCTGTCTCATAGGTCTTGTGTTGATGATGTTGGGAGTTTTCAGGTTGGATATCAGTTTCAACAGAACAGTTCCAACATATCCAATACTTTTTGCTGAAGGTATATCCTTTAACTGAACTATGTGTTGTACCCATCAATAGTTCACACACCGAAGAGTGCATTATCATAATACAAATTAAGAAAATGCTAGTTGATTAAGAGTCAGAGGTGGCTGGATGATGGAGGACATTAAAAACATGCGTGTTCCACGTATAACGAGCAAAATCCTATGATCTGAGCACACTAAGTAATCTGTGCAATCCACGCTTTCTATACAAAAGTGCTGCAATCCCTACTTGCAGAGGAGATATATATATATTTGGTCTCACAACTGTAAGTCAGCAGTTAGCTTTAAAATTACTACAGAATCATCACTACACTCATCACTACAGAATCTGTAAAAGCATGAACAGACTGGGGAATTAGATCAGTGAGCAATAACACAAATACAGGTAAATTTAACCTCTTTGACAATATTTCAAGTTTCAAAAAGACCATAAAAGTCGTGTCTAAACCTCATGGCAGAATTTCGGTCGAAGAAATAAAAAGAGCTGAAACAACGATTTCTGACCGATCCAACAAGAATCTTTTGAAGGATTGAAAGATACAAGAATACGTGCTCTACACATGGACTCCAATGGATACGTATCTCCAAGACACATATCTTTCAGAGAGATGATGATGCTGACTGTCGTTACCCAATTTTACTTCATCATCCATTAGTATTAAAATTGATTAAATCGGAACATGAAAGGCTAAGTCATGCTGAAGTACGATTCGTTACGTGCACTTTATGTGAAAAATATTGGATTATAAAGAGTAGGAAGACAGTATGTAAAGTAATCCAAAAATGTGCACGATGTTGAACATTCGACTCTCATATTATAAGACTCCTCAAGCACTTCTACCTGAAGACAGAATCAGAGATGCCTTAATTTTTGAGATTATTGGTGTTGATCTGATGGGTCTCTTAATTTTAAAAGGAGGTCAGAAAACATGGATCGCCATTTTTACTTGCCCAATATATACAGTACAAAGTCCAAAATCCGGACTCATCGGGACTTCGATTCCGGATTTGGGATTTTCCCTGATATTAGATCAACAGTTTAAATCTAGTAAGTGGCATGTAGAAATTATAAAATTCAAAATATGAAATCCTGATTTATGAAATAATGAAGTATTTATGATCTAAAGGGTATCAAAATTTACAAAAAAAAAAAAAAGCTTAATATTTATTTGTTTACCTTATTAAACATTTCTTTCAATGTACATTGCTTAAGTTGCTTCGTTTTTTGTGATAATACTCTCTCTTTAATCCAGTAGACAGACAAAATCTCTTGTTCAGTTACATTGTTGAAGTCTTGTAACTGCTGTTTTGAAAATTCCAACTAACTTGTCAATCGAAATTTTCTCGTTTTCAGTAACTTCTCTGTCACTTTCTTCACTAACAGTAGAGGTATTTTATGGATCTAGTACCATATTACAAATTTTGCCATTCATTAATTGATTGATGATTGAAAAGCAGCGTCACAATGAAAAACTTCTTTTATATCATCTTCATTTATTACAGCTTCTCCACATTTCTTTACAAAATCCGTTAATTGGAAAACTTCACCTTCGTTTTGCAATATCCAAAAACCTTTAAACCTGGCGCGGCCATGGTGCAGCTATCTTCACAAATTTAGCTATCCTTCACTATACATATTTGGCCATGCATCATGAGCTTGGTGACTAACGACAAGTTGTTCCGTTAAATTTTATCTTGCTTCTATGACACAGAGACAATTAAGCCTGAATTGTATTAGTTTAGTTATTTATTATACTGTTGCGTTTTTCCTGACACCAGTTATTACGTTATTTTCTTCCTTCACGTTCATATGGCGTTCTTGTGGATTTGGAGTGAATAACGACGACAGCACTTGATAGAATATCGAAACATACTTTATTTACCAATATTTATCGGGACAGCTCCAAAACACTTTTATAGTCATCGAAGATCTACTATAAACACACTGGAACAATCAACGACACAGCCTTCACACTGTCAGGCAATAACGGTGAAGACAGCTTCACTGCAAAGCATCAGAGTACAGCTCCCAACTCTGCTTGGTCGTTCTGAGAACTCCACGTACTCTCGAGACTTTCCACGCTACAACTCGTGATGCACTCGGCGACACACAGAGAACAGCTCCTGACTCTTTGGTTCAGTCGTTCCCGGAGCTTAACACACTCTCTCGATGATGCACTAACCATGTTACACTAAGAGACTCATCAATGCACTCGACGACCCACTCGGCACTCGCTGTCTGGCTGTCAACTCGATCGACTCCGCACAGACTGACTAACTATCTCTCACTCTAAATGAGGCACACTCACTGACTGCGGACCAGCAGGGTTTATATAGCTTTCGGCCTGTCTTCGAGAACATTCTGGGCTAAACTGGTAAGAATTCGTTCCAGAAGGTTTTCCATCCGTCCATGGCATATTGCTAATTTTGTCACCAAATGGGCAATTTCTCGCCAAATGTGGCAACCCTGTCTTCCCTTGCCAACCCAAAACCTGCTTTGAGTAGAAGCCATCTACCCTTGCCTGGACATTTTGTAACAATACTTATGTCTATTTCTTGCACATGCTTATCAGAGTTCTGAATAAATAAATTCCCACACATACTTAAGCTTTATTTAGCGCCTGCACAGGTTGCCATATTTTGATTAACATGCGGTGATGAAAGGAAAGTATAATAAATAATTATTCGCCAGGTTGGCATCAGATCAACAATGTATCACCTGTATGTGGAATGTTTCGGTTTGAGATATATGTCGAGCAGATATACAGCAACAGAGCCAACTTATTGATCATACAAATTTATGCTAAAATTATTGTTTTTTTCAATAACAAGGTATTTTATTTAGCATTGAAGTGAGATTAATAATCGGGACTCTCCAGACGTTTTATTATTTGCGGAATGAAAATCAAATGTGCATGAATAAAGCTTACAAGAAAAAACGTTGTTGGTGGTTTTGAGGTCCGGATTTTGGACTTTGTACTGTAGAGCTGGTCACTTAGAGCTGGTCTCATCTCTATCAACCAAAAGTTTCCTGCATGCCTTCAGGCGATTCATCACTTGAAGGGGTAGATCTATCACCTTATACTCCAACAATGGAACCAATTTAGTTGGATGAAATAATTTGTTTAAGACCATAGATTGGAATTCTATCTTAAAAAATATGACAGTTAAGGAAATTGACTGGAAATTTATCCTTCCTACCTCGCCATGGTAGGGAGGGTGGTGGGAAAGATTTATTGGAATACTAAAGAGAATTCTTTGAAAGGTACTAAAAAAATTTTCTGTCAACTACGAAGAGTTGTTGACAATCATTTGTAACTGCAAGAGCCTTATGAACAACCGTCCTCTAACGCATTTATCAGAAAACATAAAAGATTTGAGAGCTCTCAACCCAGCAATGTTTCTAGCAGAAATTCCAGAGACTGGAGTTCCTGAATTAGATTTTTTGGATTCTAAATCCCTCAATAAGAGATACCTTTACACAGCCAAATTGAGAAAAGACTTACGAAAAAGATTTCGAGCAGAATATTTAGGGCAACTGAAACAAAGTTCAAAATTCATCAGCAAACCATCATCTGTGAAAGCTGGTGATCTTGTAATTGTGTCCAATAATAAAAAAAGGATAAATTGGCCCTTGGCTAGAATCCTGGAAGTTTTTCCATTTCACGATGGACACATTAGATTAGTGAAATTGAAAACTGCACAAGGGGAGAGTACAAGACCTACTAAGAACCTTATTCCTCTTGAACTCAACTTTACACCTGAGTCGGATATGAAAGTGAGGTATAGAACTCAACATCTCAAAAGGCTTGAACTATAGATCAGTTGAAGTCCATCCTCTGCTGATACTGGATCTCAAGGTGGGAGTGTCATGTTTGTTTGCAAAAACTCAGCTTTCATGAATGCCCTCTGGTGGAAAGACTAGATTCGATTCGAATGCTCTCTGAGGACAAAAAACTTCTAAACCTGCTAAATATATTATACCATGTTATGTCGTAACAAGGTATAATATATTTAGCATACTTGAGATCATGCATCCTCAACAATAACAGCAGCTGCTGTTTTAATAATTCTTAGACTTTCCTCCTCTTTTGGCAATCTTTCCTGGCATAAAGATAATTTTGAGGAGAAGTAGTATTTACATAAGGGGAAAACAGGCAATATTAATCACACATGGGGAAGTTAGAGAAACATCATGCATCAAATTGCAGAAAATTTAAGTTTTTCAAAAGGGATTTTTTTTATGATTTGTCCCAAATAAGCAAATGCACAAATCAGCTAGAATGGACTAAATATATTTACAGACATGAACTATATTAACTACACTTACCAGTAAGAGCAATAAAATGTGGAGTTGACTGTCCTGTAAGTGCTTGGAAAAGAACAGATTGTTGTTGAGACTGTTGCTCAGAAAAATTGTGAGCAACAACTGCAACTTGAGCAGGTACAAGAACTTTGGCTAAAGATAAAGGAGCATCTTGAGGAACTTGGGCAGGTATCTCTCCTTGATTATTAGTTGATGACTGAACTGGAGACCCATTTGGAGACTAATATGAAAATAACACATACATATATTACTGAACTCCTTAAACTTTACATAAAATAGCACATGTGTACTAATCTGATTCAAGAAGCTCTATGATGACAAAAAGTCACCTATTCCAGGAGATTAAATTAAAAATATACAAAAATAATTTATTCATAGTTGAATACTAAAATTACTTTTGCTTCAACAGCCAAAAGATAAATATATACTAACATACACATAAAAAATAAAAGACAAACATATAATTTCATCAATATATTTAGCAAAGGTACAGCCTCCTCCTCTTTTCAGAGTTACAATTTGCATATTCATTATTCTATCAGAAATATACAAGAAAAATAATTATTCTTTTGAAATAAAATTATGCGACAGAGTATTTAATTTCACAGGATTTCTTTAAAATGCTGCAGAAAATTTTTGTTTCTTACTTTAAATTTACATGCTATTCCAAAACTCACATTAATTAAATAACATTAGCACATTAAATTTGATGTTTATATTGCACTGAATTTACTTTATAATTGATTCTGTACTAGGTTTATCATCTAATCAAAACGATCTCAAAATGACTATAAACATTGTCATCATTCATTTTAAGAGGAGAAGGAAGAGAGATCAAAATATTTTCATTAAAAAAACATTTTTTTAAATTGCAGTTTTATTCTTCAGATTCCAGTTTAACATTTCCAATGAAATTTTACCAGAATACCAAACAAATTAATCTTCTATATTTATAATAGGATTTCCCACAACAAATATGCGCTCCTTACAACTGAAGTAAGAAGATCACAAATCAGGAGTATTTTTGCTTAAAGGCCTCTCACTTGCTTAATAGATCTTGTTATATGCTTCCTACATATACAGCAAATTCGCAAGTTTGCTGCATTCATCTGCCTGTCTTCCTTTGGTTTTTAAAAAATGAAATGGTCCTCTGATTTAGTCAGAACTTAAGGACAGCCTTATCCTTGAAACAAATGCTCCCTATTTTGTAAACAATTTCTAATCTAAAGAGAATATTTAGGAGTAAGCATGGTATTTTGGACACCTTTTAGTAATTCTGTATGTATTTTATTTTATCAATAATAATCATTAATCATGAAAACTTAAATACTTTTGGTGTCTAAAACACACGCACAATAATTAAAATTTACTATCGCTTACTGGGAACACATTTACAATATACTTATGGTTATTAAACCTAAGGTGACAAGATTTCAAAGTTTGAAATTCAGGATGCTACATATATAATTTTTTTTTTCTTTTACAAATAAATTATTTTATTAATGTTATTGTGGTGGAGGTGGTATGTAGGTGAAAAATTGGAGCTACATTTCTTTCTTATTTGTGTGTATATATATATATATATATATATATATACAAATAACATATATATATACAGTGTCTCACAAAAGTGATGGGATACTTGTGCTTTACAAAAGGAAACTGTAATAAAATAAATTAAAAGAACATGTAAAAATTTTTTGTGGGTGTGTTTCATACTTAAATTTAGTAACAATTATTACATAACATACACTTTCTCAAAACATTAATTTAATAAAAATACAATTGTTTAGAATGGAGCAAAAAATGGTTCACATAAGGGATGGGACACCATTAGATACTACTACGTACTATGCAACAAAAATCGTCTGAAGTAAGCAATAAAAATATTTTTTTTTAGTTTTTATTTTTACTCAAAAGCGATTGGCAATAATTTACAAAATCGTCTGCAGTATTTCTCTCCAGTTTGTTTTGGAATGTTTGTGTTTTTTATCTCTGTGCAGCCATGAATGCTAAACGAAAAGAAACTTTGCCTGAAATTCGAAAATTAGTTATTAATTTGCATATTGAACGTGGAAAATCTATTAAAGAAACTGCTGAAACAGTTAACCTGAGTCATTCAACAGTTTTCAATATCATTAAACGATATAAAAAGAATCATATGATTCAGGATAAAAGAAGACCTGGCCGACCATCAAATCTATCCAATGGAATAAAGCGAATAATCGTTCAAAATATTTTTAAAAAAAAATCTAAGATTGAGTGCTCCTAAAGTTGCTGCTGATTTACAAGTATTATATGGAGTAATTGTTAATCCTGAGACTATTGGAAGAGTAATTCGATCTGCTGGAATATTTAATATATTTGGTTCTGACAGTAGAATCTTGGTGTGGAGAAAACCCAGGGAAGAATTTCGCAAACAGAACTTGGTGCCAACAGTAAAACATGGTGGGGGAGGAGTTATGGTATGGGGGTGTATGTCGTCCGCTGGAGTTGGTAATCTTGTTTTTATTGACAGTATAATGGATCAGTACAAGTATATTGACATTTTAAATCAAAATTTGAAATCTTCAGCACGAAAATTGAACCTTCATAACGATTTTAAATTCTACCAGGACAATGACCCCAAGCAGAGTGCTTTGAACGTTAGACTCTGGCTGCTGTATAACTATCCTGAAATAATAAAAACACCACCACAATCTCCAGACTTAAATCCCATATAGAAAATAATTGGCAAAGAATTGGAATCAAGAATTCGCAAACACACCATTTCTTCAAAACAACAATTAAAATCGGTGCTTCAAGAAGAATGGGGTAAAATCACTCCAGAAATCGAAAAAAAAATTAGTCGAATCCATCCCAAGAAGATTAAATCATGTTTTAAAAGTAAAAGGAAATCCAACAAAATATTAAAACCTTTTAAAAAGTAAAATTTTTGGATAAATATTTCATGGAAAAGTAAGTGTCCCATCACTTATGTGAGCCATTTTTTTATTAAATTAATATTTTAATATTTTAAGAAAATGTATGTAATAATTGTTACTAAATTTAAGTATAAAACACACACAAAAAAAATTTTTACATGTTTTTTTTAAATTTATTTTACTACAGCTTCCTTTTGTAAAGCACAAGTGTCCCATCACTTTTGTGAGACACTGTATATATAACTTTAATTAAACTTAGGAGATAATATAATCAATTAATCAATATTGTTTAGAAAATAAATTATTATTAACTTACTTTGCAGCAATTGCGCAAGTAGTAGTAACTTGCTTTCGCACTAAATGAATTTAAGATCATACAATATTTGATATATATATATATATATATATATGTTACTGTAAAAGCTTGAAGTATGGTAAATCCAAAGTTTCACCGGTAAAAACCTAGCTTTTACCACAGTTGCTTGGTAAAAGTCCAAAGTATGCTTTAATATGATTCCATTTTGGCCTTATACCAAGCCTTTGCAGTACAACCTAGGAGTTACAAAAGCCTTTCATGAGGGATTTAAATCGACCTTGAATAAGCCTGTGCATGCAAATTTTGTCGTGATACTTTTCTGTTCCTGCCCCTCTTTACTTGCGCCATTTGCAGTCCAGCTTCAAGGAAATAATTCAAATAAGTGTAAATGGCTATCATCTAAACTAGAAGGGTTTGTTTCTATTTTAACATATTTTACATTTTTTATATTATTATAGTTTTATGACATTTTGTCTGAATCTGTAAAAATTATCACAATAACAGCTTTTACTTAACGAATGAGAAATACACTCCTTTAATAAATGAAGTGAAAGAAGCAAAATCTGTGAAGGAAAAACAGTCTATTACAGAAGATTGAAACACAGTGATATTCTAAATATTGGGAGGAAGGAAAAACTGCTTTTATAGTGATGGTGAATAGCAAAATGAATTTTCGATGCCTAGTTGCTCCAATAGATATGCACTCCAAGCCTGATCATTATATGTAATTCATTTTAGTGCACCATGATTGTCTTTCATCCTACTCCGAAATTTACATAGCAAAAGAGCTGATAACGTAGCACATCACCTGGATATTTTCACAACTTTCCCAGCCCCAAACATTCTTCATTCTGACAATGGGAGGGAATTTTGCAACTAAATCGTAAACAGTTTATGTGAAATGTGGAGTTATATAAAAATAGTTCATGGTAAACCGAGACACGGTCACTCGCAAAATTCTGTTGAACGAGTGAACCAGGACATTGAGAACATCTTGGAAACATGGATGGAAACAATGAAGACAGAAACGTGGTTGGAAGAATTAAAATTCGTTCAAGTAAAGAAAAACAAAGCATATCATGAGGGAAAAAATTAAATGTTCACCTCACGAAGTTATGTTTGGTTGTCCTATGAAGCTGTGATTTGCTTACTCAGTTTTGCCATGTAATTTGATTAGTAACATGACCAATGAAGAGGACTTAGAAAGAATTATAAATATTAATATTGAATGCATGATCAATACAGAAGATGAAGTCAAATAAACAGTTGATTTGAATTGCGAAATAATAATAATACATATGAAAAAGAATCACGCATAATAATGGTAGTAGATAATGAAGTTCAAACTGAAGAAAAAAAGAACAAATATATGCAGGGTGGTTCCTAGGCCATTCGCTGCCCACATACTTTCCTAAGATTGCTGCCCCCAAATTTAAAAAAAAAAAAAAAAAAAAAAACTCAATGATTAATAAAATTTATATTTCATACTCACTAGGTATGTACATATGACGAATTGTATAGAAAGTACTTACATATGGCAAGTATTTAAAATAAATTTAATGAATTTAAAATATTTAGGCGTGGTATAGCGAAAGTCCCCCCCCCCGATTTTTGCCCCCCACATACTTTTGTGCACTGCAGCTTCACCAGGAATGGACCAGAATATATGCTTTGACACAACGGATGTTAACAAAGTTTGCTTGTTATCAAACAAAGTTCAAAATGTGAAAGTGTTTCGAGAGATAGCTAAGGAAGGACTTCATAAACAGGCAAAGAAGATGAAGATTATGTCTACAAAAAACTTTCTGAAACCTACATGTGAGCAAAATGTTAAAAAAAAATGTGCAAAATGTACCTGATATTGATAGATCAAAACTGGGTCCAAAATCAGTAACAGCCATTACTACAGATATTAAAGATGACAAGTTTTATGTTCTTGTTATTAAGTTTGGTAAATTAAAATCGTTGTACGCAAGAAACCAGTTTACCTTCTGCAAAGAAATATTTTTAAACATTGAAGAAGCTTGTACAGAAGAAATACGTGTACATGAAGTAGTAAAAAAAAATTTTCTTTAGTTGGGGGACAAGGACTCAGGAAACGAAACTGTTCAAAGAAGTGTACTACAAAAATGTGTTTGTGCAAATCATCTGATCTATTTTGCAATTCAACATGCCATAGCAGTCAGCCCTGTTGTAACAGGTAGTAAGAAGTACTTAAGTAGTACAGTCAAAAGTTGTTAATTTGGACACTCATAATCAGGAATGATCTATAATCTGGATCTCAAAGCTACAAACTTTCTGCGCATGATGCATGCGCATAGGCGTTCACGCATGCGCGTAAGACTTTTACAGCTGCGCATATGCGTGTGCGCATGAGCATAATACGTTTACGCATGCGCGTTTAATGTATAACGGACGGTGTTGGAAAATATAACTTATTGTAAACCTTTTACTGCATCACCTCTCCTCCTTGAAATGTTTATTTAATTTAGTTCTTATTTTAATATAATATAGTAGTTACTTCTACTTCTTTTTCTTACTGCCACTGTTTGCGTTGAGAACGGACTGTTTCAACCTAATTGAGATGCAAAAACGAAATGTGATGTTACGTCATCTGGAAAGCCGATTCTTGTCGATAGCTGATTGGTTGCCATGAGATGATGTCATGCCTACTTCTGCTATAAGTATCTCGCGTCGCTCTGGCTCAGCCCTTCTAGTTCCTGCTTTCCTGGCACTTGAGTGTGCGGCTTCCAGCCCCTTCAGAAGGATGCATGCAGTCCGGTGAATAAAGTTCCTTGGTTCCTGTTCACAAGATGACTGTTCCTGAATAAAGTTCCTTGGTTCCTGTATACAAGATGGTTGTTCCAGAATGAGTTCCTTGGTTCATATCTACAAGATGATTGTTCCAGAATGAGTTCCTTGGTTCCAGAGGCTACCACCTGAGTGACTGCCGTGGGCGGCATCCATGTTCTTCAATGAAGGCGGCATTTAAAATACGTGACGGCGATTCCTCGTGTTCAACTAATGCAAACGGAGTTAGGCCAGTTTTGAGTGCTTTCAAGAACTTGATTTAAATTTCAGGTGTTTTCTCGACCATTCATCCTGGACTTTTTGAATGTGTAGCCAACTTCATTTTGAGGCCACATAATTACTGTTTAAGACATTTTTGTTTGTATTGAATGTCAGTGTTTTTGGAGACCAGGTAAAAATATTATTTGATGAATGATGGTTATATTATATTTTTCCTAAGACTCTGATATTGTTTAAATTTATTTTCTGTGTTTTTATTCTTTATTATATTGTTAAGAAATTGGTTAAGTTTGAAACCTTTTTATTGTCTTCAAGGTCTGCACAACATATTATCTCAGGGAGCTTTTATTGCTACTATTGCTAAATGTTTTATAAACTAACTTTACTAAACTTTAATGCTAATTTTATAAACTTTAAACTTTGCTTTAGCATCAGACGGTATAAGCTAAAATTATCTAATTATCTATTTCAGTTAATGTTGCAGATTGCATTGTTCCTTAATCTTCGAATTGGGTTCGGCTTATTATTTTTTGCAGACTGTTAGAGCAATTTTATAAAAGTAAGCCTGAACTTTCGATTGTGTCAAATAGAATTTCCGATGCTGGAGCTCCCAAAGGATCTAAAAAGCGAAAGTATGTTTCGATGTCCATCAAACAAAATGTGGAATTGCTGCAAAAAATGGATAAAGGCATATCCTTTGTTTCTCTAACCATTCCGAAATCTGTTCACCAATTTCACGCTGTTCTGCGGCAAGAGGAGGGACGCTGCGGCGTGCAATGAATTGGAAGTTTATCTGTCAGCACTATCCTTATCTTCAGGGCAGATGTTTCTATTTTATTTGGCTTATAATTCCTTACTAAATGTAGTATTTCATCTCGATGTACTCCATCTTTGATATGATTTAAATCAAATTCCTCGTCATTATAATTCACTTCCGATAGTGAAGAAAGTGACAAAGAGGTTACTGAAAACGAAAAATTTCGATTGACAAATTAGTCGGTATTCTCAACACAGCAATTATAGGACTTGAACAGTGGAACTTTGTAACTGAACAAGAAATTATGTCTGTTTATAGAATTAAAGAGAAAGTATTATCACATAAAATGAAGCAACTTAAACAACTTACATTGAAAGAAATGTTTAATAAAGTAAACAAATAAATATTAAGCTTTTTTTTTTTTTTTTTTTTTGTAAATTTTGATACCCTTTAGATCATAATTGTTCTTTATTTCATAAATTACGGTTTCATATTTTTAATTTTATAATTTCTGCATGCCATCTTACCAGATTTAAACTGATGATCTATAATCCAGAAAAATCGATAATCCGGAATCGCCGAAGTCCTGACAAGTCTGGATTAACGATTTTTGACTGTTCACCCTGGTTCAAAAAACAAACATTTATTACAACGCAAAAAGAAGAACCACACACACAGCGAAAAGGTTTACAGATTTACAGAGTTAAAATTATTTTCTTTAATAGTCTTATGAATGAACTTAATTTTATATCTATATGTTTCAACCTACCTGAAAAGTTTTCATTAACAATGCTTTAAATACATGACTGTTATCTTCAAAAATATAAACATTTTTAACACTGGAAATTTCATTTACTACTTACTTTTTTTTTTTTTTTTTTTTTTTTTTAAGAAAAGGTGATACTAGAGGCATCCTTTGATAACCAGGGCATTCAGCATCTGGAATTTATCTCTGAAGGATGCACTGTGAAAAAAGAACTTTACATCAAAATCCTGCGTCGTCTGCACGAGTTGATCAGGAAGAAGAGACCAAAATGTGGGCTGAGCAGTCATGGGTGCTGTTGCATAACAACGCTTCTGCTCATCAATCCCTACTCGTCAATGACTTTCTTGCGAAAATGAAAACAACTGTTTTGCCTCATCCTCCTTACCCACCTGATTTCGCACCCTGCAATCTATTCCTATTTCCTGAACTGGCAAGATGTTTGCAGGGTCATTGATTTCAATCTTCGGACGAAGTTAAATGTGCATTGCAGGCTCAATTAAAGGACATGGCCAAAAATGGATTCCAGACATGCTTCGATGAACTTTACAGGCACTGGCAAAAGTGTGTTGTTGCACAAGCATCTTATTTCGAAGGAGGATGTGTTTCTGCAATTTAATTCATAATATTTTTTACATTATAGACTCAGTCCGGGATCAGTTGAATCCTACCTTGTATAAATATTTTTAATAAAGAAAGAATAAAGTAAAATGCAGTATTCATTTTTAAACAAAATTTAAAAAAATTTCTAAATTATTTTGATGAAGTTGCCTTATATTACTCTGAAGTATAAATTTTTCTTAAAACATACTTTCTTTTTTGATTTTCATATAAAAATACATCCAATTTTCATCAAAATTTAATTGGCGATCAACATACCCTTCAAAGTGTTCACTTTAAGCTGTGTCTTATCACTAGTCTAAAAACTGTTCATAATGCTAAATACTCACTCAGTTGCATTATTAGTGCCATGACGACAAGACAGAAACTCTGGCAATTTTAAAACATTTGAAAGAGGAATCTGTTTCCTATTAAACTATGCAGTTATTTACAACTACCTCTAAACCGGTTATATCTTATTTTTTTACCATTCCAAATTTTTTTCTGTGCTATATTTTTTAAGCTAAGCATATTCCTTACATATATCAGTTTCCAATAATTTATGATTTGGTACTTTATTGATTAGCGAAAAGGCTGTTTCAAATTTACTAAAAGAAGGGATTTCATTTAATATGATCCAGCTTACGTTTCCATCTCCTGAAATACTTTCAGGAGATGGAAACATTTCTCCAGATGAGTAAGAGCAGTGTGATAAAATGAAACAACAGCTTCTCGAAATTCAGTAACTTCACATTGTGACACATCTCCATTCTCTTCAAGTTTCTCAAGAGTTTTTTTAACATTTATTGGAACAAAATTATCCACTACCTTACTAAATATTGAATCTTTCAGAGCATGTGTTAAAGCTATTACAGTACAAAATCTATAATCCGGACTCATCGGGACTTCGGCGATTCCGGATTAGGTGTTTTTTCGGATCATAGATCATCAATTTAAATCTGGTAAGAAGGCATGCAGAAATTATAAAATTAAAAATGTGAAACCATAATTTATGAAATAAAGAGCAATTATGATCTAAAGGGTATCAAAATATAACATATACTGGGAAACTTGAAAAATAAATAAATTTACTAGTAATTATGCATAGTGATCAACAATAATCTAAATTCCAGGCATCCCTGCTCTTCCTTTTTAATTTATTTTTTAAATTAGATTTTCAACATATTATGACTCAACATATCACACACAGTAGTATCTTAAAAATAAGAATTTGTACATTTATATACACTGTGGTGCATTACATATTACTAATAATCCCTGAAATTTTTTTTTTCTTTTTGCGGGTTAAAAAACTTTGTAAAATAAGACTAAAAAATTTGAAAGTTTGAAAGTTTTTAATTTTTTTTTAAATTTTTATTAAAATAATATTTTCTTTATTTGCTTATATACAATTACAAAGACAGCCTACTTTACTGAATGCTATTCAATTATAAAACTGAATTAAATGCAACAGAATCAAATAATAAAAATCAAAATACTTGATTATATGAAACTTAAAAGTTAATAAAAAATAAACAAACTTAAAATTATTTTTTTATCAAAAACGCAAAATCATTCCATTATTTACTACTCCCCCATTGATTTATAAAATTTTTTTTTCTAAAATCAGAAAAGAGTTTCACTTGCACCACACATAACTTTATTCTAATGCAAAACAAATTAACAACACAAAAATCACATTATTTCGATATTTTAGAATTCAGAAAGACATCAAAATTATTACCTGGGCTTCAGAAGCCTGACTAGAAGAAAGATTCTGAGGCGCGTGCTGCTGCTGTCCCGCACCACTGGATGGTGAGCTTTGCGATGCCACAGTATTACTGTTGACACTTGGCAGGTCTGTCATGAAGCTCGGCTGCGTTGTCATGACAACTAGTCCCAAATGTTGCTCTACCATAGTCATGGCAACCAATTCCAGATACAAGATAGAAAAATAATACATGGCCAATAAGGAGCTGGGTCCAAAATTAATACATACAGCGAATAAAATGAAAGATAATAAACTTCGGATGTCAATATGTACCTTTTACCTATTACAGAATTTAAACAGTTATTTCTTGCAGTAAAATGTCAGAGTTAAAAACATTATTTATAAAATTCCTCATCATTACCGAAAGTTAAAATAAAAAATTTTAAAAGAAAGAGCCCATTTCTAAGAAATATACAAAAAATCTCGTTAAAAATTGGAAAGAAGCATTTAAAATTAATTGCAGGAAAATGCTGGAAAAAAATTAAAACAACAGCCTATTTCTTGCCAAATTATTATTAGACTATTATTATTATTATTACACTATTATTATAATGAATCAAACTTTTATTTTCAAAATAATTAAAAAAAGGGTAGAACACAGCAAACTGAATACAAAATCATTGAAACTAAAAAGTATAATGAGGGAAAATGTCATAAGTGTATTCGCCTTTATTATTACAAGTTTTAATTTAATTCCCTCATGGTGTTTCACTATGATCAAAATTTTGTCATCGATTTTTTAACCTATTTCCTGTTAGCTACAGAGTTCAAATTTTATATTCACACTGTTTGTGGATAACAGTGAAATCTTTGTTTAACAAACACATTAAAAATATAAGAATTTTACTGTTTGCACCATCGAATAGAGTGGAAAAAAATCTTTTAAATGAAACTTAATTTCTGAATTTTTGGCGATATTTTTGACTATTTGTCGTTTATGATTTTTAAATTTAACATCTAAAAATAGATCGGATATTTTAAAATTTTCACTGATTATAAAACAAACATTTTGCACTTTTTTAAAACGAGATTTGTTGAAAAAAATATCAATTGGACAATAATTTCCTACATTTATTAAAAAAATATACTGCAGTCTCAAACACAAGAGGGGAGGAGAAATTGGTTCTTTCCGCTAACGCATCTCTTGCAGATATAAATACTTTTAAGGATGATGTTATAGATATTTCTACATTTACTATCTCAAGATTTTTTAACACTGGACAGCGAATAAAAACACAAAGCTAACTGGGGGAGGAGGGGATTTATAATAATAATAATGTCATGGTTCTCAACCTATTTTTCCTCATTATTCATAACCCCTTTCACTATTGGTAGAAGACCATTTCCCCCTTCTTCCCCAAACTCAAAAAGTACATACATACATTTATTTAGAATTGTATTATTTCTAACGTATTTTATATTTAAAACAACGAAATGTATAGAAAATGTTGATCTCATAGAAAATGAGATATTTAAGACTAAACACTTAACAGCTAAATAAAAGACTGAGTGCATCCCCCAAGGGGGAATTCCCCCCTTGTTCAGAACACTTGCATTCACCCCTTCAATACAGTCAATAACCAAATACATTATTTTTTTCTGTAAATAATATACATACATTTTTTGCCGTCCTTTGAAAATAATTACGTAATTTAGTGAAAGTAAAACAATTATTATATAATGTAGAAAAGTATTTTAACTGAATTTTTATTGATAACATATTCTTCAATAAATCTGCAATAAGCAATTATTTGTGTATTATTATCACAGGCTTTTAATATCCATGATATAAAATTGTGGGTGAATTTTGTAAAGAAAATTGTTTAATCTATTTCCATAAATTATTTTTCTGTTTAAAGTTCAATAATTAACACATCCATTTAAATAAAAGCTTATTTATAAAAAACTCATTTTAAAAAAATTATATTTTATTTATATTATAAACTTTGAAAATTAATGTATATATGCGTAAATGAGAAATCTACTGAAAAATAACTCACTGGATTAAGTACTCAGTATGATTTGTATGCATATCATTACAATTCAACAATGACATGTTTCAAATTATTAAAATTCAAAACTGTAAAAAAAAAGTACTTAATTTGAAAATAAAGTTAAAAATTATATACCTCCAAACTACATAAAATACTAAGATAAAATTAAACCACATTTATGACAGGTTAGTTACATATCATTTTTAACATGAGAATTATAGTAGCAAAGTATATTGGATACAATCAGAAATACCAACTTGGCTAATTATTACGGTGCCCAGACATATATTAAGACTTTCGATTCAGAAGTATCAATTAGTACTTTATCTTCAGATAGGTTTCACTGACTTTTCATAACTAACGTTTACTGACCAGAAACTCGTGAATCAGCCTTTTACTTGAAGGACATGGGAATCTTTGTCATGGAATTTGTTTTTGACATGTAAATATTATTATTACAAAATAAATGTATAAATAGATGAACCTTTATATTTGGCTACACTTAAAAGAATTATAATCGTTAAAAACAGAGATCTACCCCTTTTACCCCCAATGCCCATGGACTTGCTGAAGGTTCGATGACATTGCCTTCTTCCATATCCTTTAAAAGTGTTCGTACCTCTTCTATTTTAGCAATCGGTAGATGTCTTGGATGTTGCTTGATTGGTGGATGATTACCAGTATTGACTGCATGTTGCGTCAAACTGGTTCAACCCACATCAGAAGATGAGAGGGAGAAAACATCTTGAAGATCTTTAAGGACACATTCGGCAGCATTCCTCTCTTCATCACTTAATTGCACATTCTGCAATAACTCCGATGTAATGCTCTCTGAAAACACTGATTCTGGGATGTTACTCTTTCTTTCAATGCTGGTTACTGGAGTATGGAGTACATGCTGAACCTGCTTCTCCTTTATTAATAACTCTCGCCTTCTCAGGTACATTGGCAACTCTCACCGGGATAATGGTATTAATAACTCTCGCCTTCTCAGGTACATTGGCAACTCTCACCGGGATAATGGTATTAATAACTCTCGCCTTCTCAGGTACATTGGCAACTCTCACCGGGATAATGGTATTAATAACTCTCGCCTTCTCAGTTACATTGGCAACTCTCACCAGGATAATGGTCTTCGACAGGTCGATGAGTGCTGAGGCTACTAGTACTACTTTCAGGCTGTTATAGTTCTTGGGATATTCCATGACGCCATAGTGGGAATTTCTATTTTTGGCTATGGATACAGGACCCCCTTTTAGGAATTATGTTCTTGCTGTACTATGATATCGTCTTTTGAGCTATGATTTCAAAGACAGATTTAACTTCTTAACCATTAATTGCGAATAGGGTTATGTCCTTAAAACCAGAATGCATTTCATTATTTAAAAAAAAAAAAAAATTATTTCCTTAGATCCAATCCGGGTATGCAAGGGTCTGTAATATTGGCCACATATGCCGTGTGATGGTAGGTGGCTATTCAAAACTTGATATTAATGTCTAATTTCCCCTCAATGTCACTGGACACAGTCTGGAGGATAATGCAGGGCAGCTTCCAGATGAGTTTGCCTTTCAATTGTTGAGCCACATTTTTTCGAATAATGGCAACATTGGCTCCTGTATAGATGGTCATATTGCAAGGAATTGATATGTCCCATGATGAAAAGTCCCTTACTGCTGCCACTCACTGCAGAAATCTGAAGGACTTAAAACTGGAACTTTTTACTATCTGGCAACCTACGCCCCACAAGATGGGCACTAATTAGTTTCCCTCCTCCTTGCTAAGAGTGGTCTTAACATCCGTGCCCTGGGGTGTACTGCAGTTCTCTGTATGTGCCCTTCAGCACTGCAGTTTCAGCACTTTATGGTTGGTTTCTTGTCACTCTTATTCCATCTCAAGGCACTGGACTTGTCTTATTAAATCACTTAGGCAAGCAGCCGTTTGATGGACTGGCTCTTGGACCTGCGCAGCTCTGATTGGCTATCGGTTTCTACAAGTTGCTTACTGGGCTACCTCGAATTTCATAGCATTCACCAGAGCACTTTTTGAGTCCTTCAAATCTGCCATTTGCAGTGCTTACTGTATTTCAGGATCCCGGATGCCATCAACGAAATATTGCAGCAACAAGACTTTCCTTGTTTTTGTCAGACACTCCAAGAAGTCAAGGCGGAGCAGCCTTTCACCATCCTCGGTGTTTCGGTGGGCTTCTGTTGATGGGATTTTAATTAAAGCCTGCTGTAGTCTTTCAAACATTTCTCTCGAAAGCGCAGTTCCAATGCGCTGGATAGAGCTTCGAAATCTAGCCTTTGGTTTTCTGGGAGAGTTTGAAGGATATCCGCTACATCTGCCCTTAGAGAAGCGGCAAGATGACAAGCTTTAGCTTGGGAATCCCATCCGTTCGCTTCCACTATGGAAAATTATTTCTTATACACTTTCCAAGAGGTCTTATCATACGTGGATAACTTCAGAGAGGGACGAGAAGGCACGGATAAAAATTTAAAACCATCACTATTGCTCCCTACCATCACTATGAACTTCGTCAAGTTATCAACTTCTTTGGCAACCAGTAACCATATCATCAATTTGTTGTTCCATAGCAGAAACTCTCTCTTCTATTTGTTCTTTCACAGAAGAAACTCTTTCTTCAAAGTGTCCAACCCTGTTTTAAACAGCATCTATTCTGCCTTTCACAGCCTCAAATTCATTTTCTATTATGCAGGTAATTTCTTTTGTTATTTTCTCTTCGCCAGCTTAAATCTTTTCTTGAGAGTCTTCCATTTCTTCTTTAACAGATTCTTTTATCTTCCTTAACCAGCTTTCATCTCCTTTTTAACAGATACTTGACCAGCTTTCATCTTTTTTAAAATGCCTTCATCTCTTCTTTGACAGATTCTTGACTAGCCATCATCTCTTCTTCAAAGGCTGCAATCAGCTGTTTCAACTGCTCCTCCATCAGTCTTGTTATTGGCATTCAAACCACACTCCTGACACCAAAACATATTGTATGCGTACAGGTTTGTAATGGACTGAATGCACAAGTCGATAAAAAGTTAATAAAATTTATTCTTATCCCAAGAAATAAAACGAAATGCTGAGATTTCCTCAGAGATATTCGTATAATATCTCAAAGTAGTTACATTTTAAATTACTAAAATGTTATACAGAACACAATTCAAAGCAGAGAAAACTAATTCGATCTCGCCACGAATTCACTACAGTCAACAACAAGAACTAAGTAAACAATTGAAATGAGATGTTTTAATCCAGCTTTTTAATCATGCACGAGAACATTCTGGTAATTTTGATTTCTCGAAGTTTCTGGAAAAGCAATTACAAGATATCTATTTATTAAATGTTCACGCTCCTCTATTTTAACTTTTCTGGCGTAGCTTTTTCCCTTCAAATAAGTCTTGTGCTGCACTGCATGAGGATATAAAAAAAAAAAAAAATTAATTACAATTTTACCAAAAATAGCAAACTAAATACAAAAACCGTTTCAATACCATTTATCTAACTTATTTTAAAGTTAATAAAACTAACAAAAGACAAATGCCTCTTGATTGTTCAGATATTAACTTTGTAGAGACATTAGGTATTTTTTTGAAGCAGGCAAGACAAAAAATTAGCAATGCCTTCACCGGAAATGTGATCATTATATTCATAAGAGATTAACTTTTTTTGAAGCCACTCACAAATTAAACGTTTTAGGATTTGGATTCTTAACGAGAATAAATTGATGCTGAGATCAGCCCTTTCCCTATAGAGCTGTATTATTTTCGTTATTTAGTTTATTTAAATTATTTCATTTTCAACTTTGAATTTTGAAATTTTGCCACTGGACTAAAATGTTTTCAACCTCAGCTTACTTTGCCAAGTACCGACTACAATGTCTAGCATTTCGTAATTAACTAAAAAGGGAGATTTATAGATTTATTTTTAGTTTAAATACAGATTATATATATATATATATATATGGATTTTTTTATTCATATCTACAGAATAATTATTAAAAACTTTTCTACCTCATTTCAGGCACCTTTTTGAGTCTTCTATTTTTAAAGAATAATATTGAACCACGCACCTCTGGATTACCAGCCCAGTGTGCAGAACCACTACACCACGAAGGCACGCTAGGAAAGTGGGAGAAACACCCTATATACTCCCCCTTTTAAAGGGCGACTGGGGCTTTTAGAGGACCCAATCGCTAAATCCTAGGTGTGGAGAGTCATTATTCATAACCCTTTTAGTTTGGGTGCCACTGTAGAGACATTAGGTATTTTTTTGAAGCCGGCAAGATGAAAAATTAGCAACACCTTCGCCGGGAATCGAACTATGGATCTCTGGAATACCGGCCCAGCGTGAACCACTACACCATGAAGGCAAGCTAGGAAAGTGGGAGAAACACCTATAACTTACAAAATTCTGAAAGTTTGATAAAAGAATACATTTTGAATTCAGTACCAACAAACTTAGACACTGACACTCCAACATTTCTAAAAACGTTTTGACTGACACCCTTATTAACTAAAGATGCAGGATTGAAATATTTGCACAGAAAATACAGATTCTTACCAAAACACTTCTTGACAACCAAGTTCATATTATTAAAAAAAATTTCATAAAATTAACTTGCATTTTATTTCAAACTTTCAAAAACTTACCTTAATTAATTACACAAAACAAAATTATTTCCTACGTATGTAGCTTTAACTGTAAAAAGGTTATTTGTAAATGAGTAATTTGCCTAAAAATATAAATATTTTTTTATGAAGAAAATTTCTGTTGCTAAGAAGGAAATTTCTCTTAAAGCCACAATGTAACCAAACTGTGTGAAAGTTATTCACTTTGCTTATTCTGTTTATACTTTGCTTACTATTGTAAGAGAATATTTTTTTAATTATTTGTTTAAAACTTAATTATCATAGTTATTCATAAATAAAAATTTCTGCAATTCCCTTTGCAGATAACAGCAGAATAGCGCTTTTCAGGTAATTTATTATTGTTATTGCAGATCCTTTCATTTATTATTCATGTCAAAAGAGCACCCTAAACTTTCACGCTTCACAATCATTCCCTGACACTTTACGAAATGGCACAAATAAAAGCAGTGTATCTTTTTTGTATTTTAACCATTAAATGGTTTTCATATTAATTAAATTTATATTAGTTTTGGTTAAGATTATTACCAAGTATAAAATTTGTTTATTTTTTTTACATATGGATTTTCATTTTTGCTTTTAATATTATTTTTAACCCTGCCGAAATCCAAAGGCATGGAATAGATGTGTGAATGTTTTCGAGAAAAATGTGATCATTATATTCATAAGAGATTAACTTTTTTTGAAGCCACTCACAAATTAAACGTTTTAGGATTTGGATTCTTAACGAGAATAAATTGATGCTGAGATCAGCCCTTTCCCTATAGAGCTGTATTATTTTCGTTATTTAGTTTATTTAAATTATTTCATTTTCAAACTTTGAATTTTGAAATTTTGCCACTGGACTAAAATGTTTCAACCTCAGCTTTACTTTGCCAAAAGTACCGACTACAATGTCTAGCATTTCGTAACTTAACTAAAAAGGGAGATTTATAGATTATTTTTAGTTTAAATACAGATTATATATATATATATATATGGATTTTTTTTTATTCATATTACAGAATAATTATTAAAAATTTTCTACTCATTTCAGGCACCTTTTTGAGTCTTCTATTTTTAAAGAATAATTTATTTTAAAATTTAAAGTTTTACACTGTATGATGTTCTTTATTCCCATTTTTGTTTTAAAAAGAGTCAGAATTTACTTTAATTTTGTTCAATTAATAAAGTAATCTTTTTCCTTTGTCAAAATTTTTTAAAAAAGTTATTGAAGTATTTAAATGTTTTTTTTTTTTTTTTTTTTTTTTTTTTTTTTTTTTTTTTTTGTGTTTGTTTTTGTTTCAAAATTCCATCTTTTGTTCCAAATTTTAACCTTTTGAACAGTTAATTTCTCGGCATGGATTTTTAGTTTCGCCAATGAAGCCAATATGGCAAGCCTGTATGTCACTACAGTCACAATATTCCTAGCTTCGATTGAGGTCTAATGAAAATGCACAAAGTTTTTAATTACTTATTGTGACTTTTAATTAACTCTTTTCACCTAAATTTTATAATTTCACTAATGTTTAAAATTCTTTGGATTATATGCTATATGTTTAAAGGCAAAATTTTGATTTATAATTTTCACTAAAGTGTTTTAATTTTTCACTTTTGGTTTCAATTCTTTAAATAAAACAGAATTCTCTGTATTTAAGGTACAAAATTCTAATTAGAATTTACTTTGTTTTTCCTTTGCTTTGGGCAAGGGCGAGAATTTTTGGGTCAACTATTCTAATTAAAATACATTGAAAAAGTTCAACAGCTAATTCTGGATACAGAAAAGCAAGGACTTTAGTAGAAGACAGATTTCAATGTTCCTCCCTCCCCCCGGATGAAGTGACATTGAAGTTGATTGGATTCCTCTTCCGTTATGTTCATTTTGTTAGAAATAAACTTTATTTTATTGTTGTAGCTGCCAAAGCTATGCTATAATTATAGACTTTATGTTCCTTAATATTCATGTGCAGCAGTTTTGCTGAATGGCAACAGTTAGTCAAGTAAAACATGTAACATACATTTGTAGTTTGCTTATTTCTTTCTACTATATTTCAAAAAAAAATCAGCCATTTAAGTGATTTCTATCACATAATCAGCACAATATGCTCTAAAGAAGTTTATTTGGCAGAAATGAAGAAATTTTGGTTTTTCGGAAAGAAAAAGAAGCAACATCCACAGCGCCGGCGAAGCAAAGCCTAACACGCTGAAAGTGATCCGATGGAAGAAATTAAGATTCAAAAACTCAGCAGAAATAATTACAATGCTTCAAAAATCCAAGCACGAGCTGTTTTAGTTCAAAAAACTTGTTCGGAAGCGATTGATCCAGGTTATGGTGCTGAATTAAAGAATAACGAAACGAAAATTAATGAGAAAGCCTTAAGCTTCCTGTTCTTAGTGGTTGAAGACCAGTTCTTAGATGACATCGCTGACTGTGAAAGAGTGAAAGAAGCGTGGGATACTTTAAAAGACATACATACAAAATTCGGACTCTTGCATTCTCTACAACTTTTATAGGAATTTTTTAATGTAACTTTAAAACCTGGAGAACGTGTCATGTCAGTTCTTATCTAAGTTCGATTGATGGACCTTCACCGAAAGGAATTGTCTTGCGGACATAGAAGTTGCCCTCATCATGTTAATGAGTTTGCCCAAGGAATATGATGGCCTTATCCTCAATTTAGAAAGTGAAGAAGATACGTTGTCAACCCAAATCGTAAAATCGCATCTCATCATTGAAGAGAAAAAAATTACTGCGCCACACAGAAGTGAAAACAGAAGTTGCTACCAGTGAGGTCATAGGAGAGAAAGCCCACAAAACTCGAGATAAGTACAGAACTAAAACTATGCAGCCATTACAGAAACAGCATAAAAATACTGACAGAGAAACCCATTGCTTTTCTTGTGGGGAGTGGGATCATATTGCCAAAAATTGCTCTACTGCTAAAATCCCACATGCAAAAATGGTTTCTAATTAAGCATATCAAGCACTGTTTGTTGGTTCTTGTGGTGGGAAACCTGTCTGTGATAGGTACTTTGATAGCAGAGTCACTGAACATATGTGTTTTCAAGAGCAGAAATTTATGAATTTAGCTTCAGTGAAATCACAAGTTGAGATAGCCAATTCTGAAAAAATTGAAGTTTCTGGCATGGGAGACATTGTTTTGAATCCTGTTAGAGAATGTGGGAAAGATGCTATTGATCTAGCAAATGTTCTGTATGTCCCTAATCTTGATGGTAACCTTCTTTCAGTGGGAAGAATAGAAGAAATGGTAATGACTGTCTCCTTTGAGAGGGGCAAAACAATCACAAAAGATCCAAGACAACAAGATAAGGTCATTCTCACTGCACATAGGTATGGAAGATTATACAAAATTGAAGAGAAGCAAATGCACAAAATATACCTTTCCAGACATGAAGAAATTATGTATCGAAAATTAGGACTTTTCCATTATGATACAGTTAAGAAACTTATGAAAAGGTATGATTCGAATATGAGGTGTGAAGAAATCCAAGAAAAGGTGACTGTTGCTCAATATGTGTTTTGAGGAAAATGAAGAAGACTCCATTTCCCAAAGAAAAGGCCAAACGTTCAACTAGATTACTTCAGTTGATACATACTGATATAATTGGATCTAACACACCTACATCAAAAGGTGGATCAAAGTATGTCGCTACCTTTGTTGATGACTACTCAAGGTATGCTGCATTTAAAATTATGAAAGTTAAAGATCAAGTCCTTGAAAAATTCATGGAATATAAAACAAATGTTGAAAATTTCCATGGACTCAAAATCACTACTCTACGAAGTGACAATGGAGGGGAATATGTCAACAAGGAACTTGATGATTTCCTAACTAAAAGCGGAATAACAAGACAACTCACAATTTCCCAGACACCACAACAAAATAGAGTTGCAGAAAAAATGAACCATACTCTATTTGATATGACTATATGTCTTCTCTTAGAATCCAACATCCCACAAGAATTGTGGGCAGATGCTGTGACTACTGCCTGTTATTTGCACAACAAATGTCTATCAAAAGCTACCGAAGAAAGCATACCTGGAGAACTCTGGACCAAGAAGCCTGTGCAAATTAGTCACCTGAGAATATTTGGCTGTCGAGCTTCTGCTCAAATTGATAAAACGCTACAGAAAGGAAAGCTAGGGAAGCGTGCCCAAGAATGTGTGTTTATAGGATATCCCGAATGCGTGACAGAATACAAACTATGGAATACAGAGGAAGATAAGTTTTTAGTGAGCAGGAATGTTAAATTTGATGAGAATGTTTTTCCATTGAGGAGGAGCCAGACAGCTACTCAAGCAAACAAGGAAAATGAAGTGACCTTTAACTTAAATCATCAGTACAATTCTGACGGTGAAGTAAATGTTGTTCCATTAGAAGTACTCATCAGTTGCACCACCACAGGAGTCGAAGTTGTTGAAACCCCTTTAAATGACAAAGCAGAAGTTGAAAGACACAGAATCAGCATTCCTGGAAGATTCTGATAGTAATAAGGAAGACCCTCTTGGAATCAGGAAAGGCACTAGAGAAAGGAGACCTAAGACTTCTATGGTGATCCAGTGTTATATAAAGCTCTTTGTGAAGACCAACCTGCCATCAAAATCTGTAAGAACCTAACAAGTATAAAAGAAGCAATGAATTCACTAAATGCAGAGATGTGGAAAGAAGGCAATAAGGAAGAATTGTCTAATTTGTATGAAAACCAGACATGAGAATTGGTTCCAAAGTCACCTGGCATCAAACCCATAGGATGCAAGTGATTATTTAAAGAGAAACACAATGCAGAAGGAGAAATAATCAAATTTAAAGCTCGATTAGTAGCTAAAGGCTACTCACAAGTCCCTGGTAGAGATTTTTCAGAAACTTTCTTCCCTGTTATAAAGATAAAATCTATAAGAATCCTTCTAGCCCTTGCTGTCGAGTTACAAATGGAAATTCATCAAATGGATATCACTGCTGCCTATCTAAATGGCTTACTCAAGGAAGAGATATATATGGCACAACCTGAAGGATCTCAAGAACAAGGCAACGAGCATCTAGTGTGCCATTTTAAGAAAAGCTTGTATGGCTTAAAGCAATCAGGAAGACAATGGAATGAACACTTTGATACTTTCTTGAAGAATTGTGGACTGTCGTGCTCAAAATGTGATCCATGCATTTATTACCATCCAAACAAAGCATTATATCTTGGTATCTATGTAGATGACATGTTAATTGTTGGGACCCTAGAAAAAATAACCGCATTTAAGCATAAAGTTGTGCAAAGATTCAAAGCGAGAGACCTTGGTGAAGCAAATGAAATACTATCTATGAGGATCCAGAAGCATAGTGATGGCACCTTAACATAAGATCAAACAGCTTACATAGAAGAAATTCTGAAAGAGTTCAAATTAGAATCAGTCAAGAGAGCACCAACACCCATGGATCCCACTGTAAAACACCAAAAGCTAGATGATGAAGAGTGGAGAAAAAGCAGAAAGTGACCAAATTCCATATAGGCAAGCCATAGGTAGCCTATTACACCTTGCTTGCGGAACATGTCCTGATATTGCATTTAATGCAACCTATGAGCCAGTTTAATGGGAGGCCATCTGAATTTCAGTAGAAAAGTGTTAAACATCTCTTCCGATATCTTAAAGAGGCCAAAACATCTATCCCTTACATTCAGAAAGACAGGAAGAGCCCTTGAAACATTCTCTGATGCTGACTGGGGTGCTGACAAGGTCGACAGAAAGTCCTTCAGTGGATATGTTTTGATCTTAAGTGGTGCTGCAATATCTTGGTACAGTAAGAAGCAGTCTACTGTTGCCCTATTATCGGCTGAAGACAAATACGTGGCTGCTGGCCTTGCTACAAAGGAAGTTTTATAGATAAGGGGAGCGTTGAAGGAACTGGGGATGTTGAAGTTTATCCCATCACCCTCAGTTACAAAAGTAGACAACCAAGCAGCTATGTTCATCGCACAAAACCTAACTACATTTGAACGTAGTAAGCACATGGACATCAGACACCACTTCATATGTGACTATACCGAACAAGGTGTGATTAAATTGGAATACATAAATTCCAAGGAAAACCTAGCTGATCTTCTAACTAAAAACATTTCAAAGAGAGTGTTAACCAACTTATATATAACAACAAAATATTTAGGTTTTCACAAATAGCCTTCCCATGTGTAACATAAAAGGTGTCTGGTGTATGCTCATAAGCTTGTGTCACTTGTAAATTTCTTTTACCAATTTTTTAATTGTTCAGTTATGAAGAGTTTAAGTTCCTTTTTTTAAAATCCCTCATTTTTTTAATGTTGCATTTAATCAATTTAAGCGAAAGTTTCTTTAGGCATACTTTGGCAAGGAGGAGTGTTAGAAATAAACTTTATTTTATTTTTATGATGTTGTATCTGCCAAAGCAATGCTATAATTATAGACTCTACATTCTTTAATATTTATGCGCAGCTTTTTTTTTTTTTTTGCTGAATGCAACAGTTAGTTAGTCAAGTAAATAAACATGTAATGCACATTTGTAGTTTGCTTATTTCTTTTTACTATATTTCAAAAATATATCTGCCATTTAAGTGATTTCTATCACTTTTTTCATTAAATTTCATTAAGTTTTTGAAGTGGAGATTGCTTGTTTAAAAGTTTTGGTTTTAACTTTTTTTTTTCATTCTTTGTGCCATTTATAGGATTATTTGAAATTTATCAATTATGAATTTCAATTTTTGGTCTTTGTGAAAAATTAGTTCTAAATTTCTTACTTTATATCTTTACTTATAATATATATATATATTTGCGAACATGTGCATGTGTGTGTGTAAGACATAAAATATGTAACTCAGAAGTTTAACTTTAATTCGGCAATAGTTTTTTTTATTCCTCATTTAGACACATGGTAGTGCGTCAGCCAAGTTTGGAACACACAGAAAAGAAAACAACGAGACACCGGCCCTGTATATCTTACATAAAACATTTTGACTACTTTTAACCCTTCCCATTATTCAAAAAGTATTAAACCTACAAACTTGGAATTTTTTATGTCTAATACAGTTGACTTGAACACCTAGAATCTCAAATTCCATTAATCTACCTCTTATATTAATGGAATTATTGAGATCTGACAAGTGTCATTTTTTATCGCTCACTGACTGACTTGTTCATCAAAAACCTAGACCACTTCTAAATGACTTAAGAGGTTATTACACATGGCTACAGTCCCTGCTGGACAGGACTTTTCTGAGAAACGAGATTCTAGTAGCACTGGTTTAAACAGGAGGATTCCTAGAAAAAAGAGCCCCGCCTGAAGCGAAGTCCCACCTAGCTACAAAAATGATGTTCTGGCTAAGTGGGATTTTTTCAGACCTCACCAAAAACGTCTTGTTTGGACCTCTGTCCCGTGTAGAGACAACCAATCAGACGAAAGTTCTGCTTCTGAAGTATCACGTGATTCCAATCTGAGCAATAGTCGATTAGTGTCGATTATTCAAGTCTTTGTAGTAAGTGAAAATGGTAACCTAGTTACATGAGTTTCCTGCAATTGTGTAGGTTTTGCTAAAAAATACTTATTTCTGAATTAATATTATAAAGAGAAATCTGCATGCTGAAAAAGACACCAATCAACTGAATTTAATTTAGAAGTCAAACAACAAAACTCAGCATTATATTTTCAAATTTTCTCAGGACTAGTTTTGATGCTTTTACCGAACCATCATCCTCAGGTGCAAAAGCACAAATGAACAAGATAAGATAAGGTAGGAAAGATTGGACAGGAGTCAAGCTACTGGCGCCATCTGTTGATGAAACCAAAACTAAAACATAATTTCTTTAAAGGCTAAAGGCAAAGATGAATTGGAATTAGAGTCGTTAACTAGAACAAAAAGTTTTTTTGAATGTGAAATGCCTCTAGAAAATCCAGTTCACCAATAGAAGATGTTTTTTGAATAATTTTGGCATTTAATTTACATTGGTCAAACTAAGAAAGCCTTAAAATTTCACGTTAAGGAACATGAGGCATATGTTAGAAAAAAAGGAAACACATGAGTCTTGTATTGCCCAGCATTGTTGGTCCGAAAATCACACAATTTTTCTGTTGCCAAAATTATTCAAAAAACATCTTCCATTGGTGAACTGGATTTTCTAGAGGCATTTCACATTCAAAAAAATCTTTCTGTTCTACATCCTAATTCCAATCCATATTTGCCTTCAGCCTTTAAAGAAATTATGTTTTAATCCTAGTTTCATCAACAGATAGCGCCAGTAGCTTGACTCCTGTCCAGGCTTTCTTATCTTATCTAATCACTATATCTTATCTCATTCATTTGCATTTTTGCAGCTGAAGATGATGGTTTGGTAAAAACCACTGAAACTAGGCCTGTGAAATTTTGAAAATATAACAATGATTTTTGTTGTGACTTCTAAATGAATACTTGTTCTGCATGTTATTATATCTTGAGAATATGTGTGTTCAGAATTATTTACCAAGAAATAAAATTATGTCTTGTTATCTATATCAATGTCTGCAAATTT